AAAATCTGGCAGTACGATCTGGTCTTCTTCCAAAACAGGCTCTCAGCCAAATATCTTTTACCTCAACAGGCTAACTACTATCCCTGCATTAAACATGCAGTCAAAAGTGTGTCAAATGGTATATACATAGAGTCAAAGTATTAGTCTTCAGTATAATGGCATCATTTCCCTTGGCATTGGTGGTGTCGTGGAAACAGCAGGGATCTGTTCAGTGTGTTTGCACTTCTTATCTCAGCTCTGGCTTTAGACAGGTTAGCTCACCCTTCTGAGCTTCCTTTCACTCATCTCTCATACCAAGATGATCTCACACAACTCACAGATCCATGTCACATGAAAATCATCTGGGGCATGTAATGCTCCTAAAAGCTTACTTGTTAATGATAGTAATTTGTTTGTAAAACTCTATACGCTTATATTAAATCTTTATCTGTTGGTAATTTATGTGCAATCTTAGTAATTTAAAAACTAACTTAGACAAGTTAGACCAACAACAGTACAACAAATAGATGTTGAGTGTCTAGTGTACTAAGAATTTTGTTGTTATTTTCTACTATCAATTAAGTCCTGGATTCATGAGAACATGTGGACAAAGAAACTAAACATTGCTTATTCTAATGCACAATTCCCATGATCTGTTGTCGTTTGGATCCTTAGTAGGATAGGATGAGGGTATTGCAACTGTGAATAAAGATATGCTTCCTTCAAGGGTTTTATAGTAGTCATAGAATTAATGGTACCACTGTAAAGTAAGGTAACATAAGTTTCATAGGACAAGTAAGAAATATGTGCTCAGGAAAGACTTTGTTAAAAGTTTTTATTTTTTAAAAGAGCAGATAAAGTGAGCTGTGAAGGGTGTGAACATTTGATTGGAGAAGAAAAATCCGTGATGTGAATAATGAGCCAAGACAAAAAAAGAAAGAAGAGACATAAAGGATGAGTTGCAGACAGTTTCATAAGGAGCCTTGTTGCCATAGTACTTATGTGTTGGGCTGCTAACTTCAAAACCATGAGCCTCTCCATGGGAGAAAGATGAGGGTTTCTACCCCACAAAAAGTTAAAGCCTCGTGAAGCTACAGCTCAGGGAGAGGGACATGTCTGATCAGAGCACACAGGAGCAAATGAAGGGAGAGAAAGAGAGAGTGGGGCCCATCCTGGCCCACCAAGCCTTGAGGACTATATCCCTGCTCAGAGCAGCCAGTGCACAGAGAGGACCCACTAGGAGACACGACATCCCTCACTGACTCATAGCCCTACAGGGGACAACACTAGAGACACAGTGGGAATTGCGCCTGATCTGACCCCACTACACCAAGGCAAAACACTAAGGGGGTGCAACAGAACAGCAATGGGAGCAAAGCAAGGAAGTCCCAAGGAAATACCAAAAAAATAGACTTTGGGGCCAGTGGGTGGCACCCCATCAGACTTGACTGGAAAACACTCCTAAAGGTCAACAAATAGACCTTGAACTATTTACAAGCTTTTCTCTATTTTGTCATTGTTTTGTTTTCTTTTGTTGCTTTGTTTTACTATGTCTTGTTTTTTGTACAAATTATTATCTCTGCAAGTTCATCTAGATAAGCTAGGTGGGAAAAACAATCTGGAGGAGAAAACAATGGGACCGATGGTTCCGATGGTTGGGGGTGGGGACATTGGAGAGGGGGATAGGGGAGAAAGGAAGTGGGTGTTAATAAATCCAGGGACAAGGGAACAAGTGATCCAAAAATCAGTGGCAAGGAGGGTGTAGGAGGCCTGGTAGGATTTGATCAAGGGCAATGTAACTGACAAGAATTACTGAAACCCAAATGAAGGCTGAGCATGATAGTGGGACAAGAGGAAAGTAAAAGGAAATAGGAAAAAATTAGGAGGCAAAGGGCATTTATAGAGGTCTAAATACAGGCATGTACATATGTAAATATATTTATATGTGACAATGGGGAAATAGATCTATGTACATTTATTTATAGGTTTCGTATTAAGGTAGCAGATGGACATAGGGCCTCCACTCAAGTCCTCACTCAATGCAAGAATACATTGTTCTTTTAAACTGGCATTCCATGATACTCACAATCACTGAAGACAAAGCGGGTGCATAAGTAAATGTGGTAAAGAAAGCTGATGGAGCCTGGCTATCAAAAGATATAGTGTCTAGGGTATTAAAGGCTTGAAGGTAAACAAGTGGCCATTTAGCTGAGAAGCAACAAAGCCCTCATAAAAGAAACACACCAGCCTATGTAATCACGAGATGTTAGTGGGATCAGGTATCAGGCATCAAAGAACAAAAAAATCATATCATTGCGAATGAGGGGAGTGCGGAGTGGAGACCCAAAGCCCATCTGGAGGCGATTGGACATCCCCTTACAGAAGGGTCTTGGGGAGGAGATAAACCAGTCAGGTTGTAGAATCGCAATGATAAAACATGCACCTTTCCTCTAGTTCTTTAATGCCACCCCCCCTCACTATCATGATCCCAATTCTACCTTATGAATCGGCTAGACCACAGGATGTGCAGTGGTACAGATAGGAACTGGAAACAGGGGATCCAGGACAGATAATCCCTTCAGGACTAGTGCTGAGAGTGGTGATACCAGGAGGGACAAGGGAAGGTGGGGTAGAAAGGGGGACTGATCACAAGGATCTACATATAGTCCCCTCCCCCTGGGGGAAGGAAAACAGAAAAATGGGTGAAGAGAGACGTCGGGCAGTGTAAGACATGACAAAATAATAATAATTTATAAATTATCAAGGGCTCGTGAGGGAGCGGGGAGCGGGGAGGGAAGGAGAAAAGAAGACGCTGATTCCAGGGGCTCAAGTAGAAAGATGATGTTTTGAGAATGATGATGGCAACAAATGTACAAATGTGCTTGACACAATGGATGGACGTATGGATTGTGATAAGAGTTGTACAAGTCCCCAATAAAATGATTTTTAAAAAAAGAGTTCCAGCCACTGAAATCCCCAGGAGCAGTTCCACCCTGCCCTGTAGGGTCACTGTGAGTTGGAATTGACTCCATAGCAGTGAGTCTTAAGAATAGTTTGGTTGAGGAAGAAGAAGAAGAGGAGGAGGAGGAGGAGGAGGAGGAAGAAGAATTTGGAAAGAGGATGAATAGCTAAAGGATGAAGATGATTTTATGGTTGCAGGATAACGGGACTGTGCTGAGGAGGTGCTGAAACACCACAATGGTATTAGGTGCCGTCGAGTTGATGCCGACTCATGATGATGAAGATGTTAGAAGGATGAGAAGAGGTCTGCTGTAGCAAGAGTAACTGTGGAGTGGGGCTGCTGCAGGCAGGGTGTGGCAGAAGACAAGAGAGCAAAGAGGCCAAGAAAGTTGTTAAAATAGTTGCAGATGAGAAATTCTGGAGATCTTAAAGAACTTCTGTGTTGCCCACAAAGATTCAAACAATAAATTAGGTATGCAAGATGTTGCAAATATTGGATCTATAGGATTTGAAGAGTTGACATAGTTGATGGATACAGGGATAGAGTGTTCTTTGTGGCACTTCTATTTGAAGTAAGCTTGTTTTCTCCTCATTGTAGAGTTCTCTAGAATGGATATCCTTCCCTAAACTGAAAGTTTCATCCTGGGCCTGCAGTGGCACCACTGTCCCAGGTAATAAAGCGGTGTGGTTATATGATGAGCATGCTGCATCAGGTATCATGCTTCATGAAGACCATCAGAGATCCAGAAGTTTCCCACTTTTATTTTTTGTTCCTAAAAGGGTAATAAATACACTTTCAAAGTATGTATTTTTTTGTTATGAAAAATACAAAGTATGTATTTCTTGTTATGTTTTGTAAGTATGTATATTTTTTATTTGCCCTTGAATTAATTATACTTACGGAGACCCCAAATGTGGAAATTTGTTTAAATGGAAATGGAATATTACCTTAGCTGCTTACAGGTGTGATTTTTTCTTTACATAAATAATTGACACTGCACTGTCAAATTTGATGAAAAGGAAGCCTTAAAATGCCATCCTATATACACTGTTGGTCTATATAGATTTAAATGGCTAATATTGACATAATCCAGCAATCCCCACCCTTGTCGGCCAGCAGTCATAGTTGGACAAAGAATGTCTTGGAAACAAGTGGGTGGGACAGACTGAATTTTGACAGAGTCTTCAGAAATGGGGCATACTACTTCAATATCCCCTACCTGTAGATCTGTGCAGAGTTAAACGTTGGGAGGCAGTCGCTTTGAGTGAATACACGCACAAAGTTAGCAGGTGGAACCCACCAGGTGCTCTGCAGGAAGATGAGGCTGTGTGCTCCTGTGAAGATTTGTAACCTCTGAAACCCATGGGCTGGAATTGACTTGATGGCAGTGGGTTTGATTTTGTTTTGGTGGTTTATGTCCTAAATATAATACTAGTATCGATGACCTATTTTAATTGGAGACCCAGTATCTTGTCATAGAAAGATGACAAGGTCTAGAGGCAGAATTCACTTTAAGATCAGGGTCACACTCACTGATTTTATATCTTTGCAAATGTCACTCAAGAACCATGTCTCTTTATTTATTTGTCCCTGTCCTAACTACAAGTCCATGTAGTTTTGAATGTCACATGAGGCAGAATATGTGAGGATTTGAAAACCAGATAGAAGTATAAGAATAAAAGTTGTTTTATGTGATAGCTTTATTAAAAAGATCCTCAGTCTCACACACCGTTGAGTTTACAAGAAACTCTATTATCCAGCCTGCTGTGATCCTGTACCGTGAGTGTCATTTTACCTGTATTTCAGATGATCAGGTAGCTGAGTCAGCATACACACATTTTCCAAGACCCCACACTAGTTAGCTAAATGGCAGAGGCACAGAAAATGTCCTTGGTTTTATGCCTTTAGGCAGAAGACAACTTTCTACTAATACTACAGAACCAAGCTGTCTTCTCCCCCTCCTCCTCCTCTTCCTCCTCCTCCTCCTCCTTCTTCGTCTTCCTCTTCCTCCTCCTCCTCTTCCTTCTCCTCCTCCTCCTCCTCGTTCTTAAAAATAATGCAGCGGAGAGCACGAACACTGTCCCCAACTACCACAAATTCTGCAGTCGAGTTTCCCACTTTTGGGGAAATTGCAGGGATCGGCACATCCAGCGTGCAATGGATAAGCCTCGCCCTGGGGCCACCACCTACGTTGATAATGGTTATCTCCCCTGACTCTCTCTTGACCTGTAGTTATTGCAGTGGTTTCAAGGAATACACAATCTAGTTCTATGAGAAAGAGGAGAGAGAGAATGGGCAGAAAGAGAGAGTAAGGTGATGGACTATGCACACACTGACAGCGCTACCCACAAATGCTCAGCTGCAGGTTCAATGGCACCAGTGTCTGGACTTGTTCAACCATTTATAAAATGAATACTTTAGGAGAGCTGTTTTGCAAGACTTACTCATTTATTTGTGCACAGTTAAAAGGACCAAAGGTTTTATGCTTTGTGAAATTTTGTGGAGATTTAAAAAACCTCTGCATAGCCCTTAAAATAAATTTTGTTGTAATGATTTTACTTTAATTGTTTGGACTTTTGTTAAATTCTTAGTAAATAATTGTGCTTTACCTCACAGTTTTGAAAGCAGCTTGTTTTTCTAACACATTATTTAAACAGCTGCTGGGCTGTTAACACAGATTTAATCATGTTTGGTGTTTCTGTTTCCAAAGTTTAAATGAAAGAGCAGAAGCAGCTTAAACAGATTATTAGGTAGACATATTGATTCAATTAGTGTGTATAACACCATCTAAAATATCTGGCACAAACTGGGACAAACTGGTGTTTTTATGTTATAACACCCCTTAACTATCCTCTTGAATTCTCACACAGCACAAGCCAAGTTCATTAAAAATCTATTTACACATCACTCCTAACCCCACTCCCTCAATTTGTAAATAAAGAATAATACTTTCCCCACCTTTTATTTAACTGAAACAAACATTTCAACTGCCATGATATTTAATTTCCTTTATTAATTAATCCTTATATTTTAAATCTGTAATTTGTAAGACAAACAGAAATAACTAACTAATTTGATGTGAATTCATCTAAAAATCATATTCTATTCTTTAAAATAAAATGGATTAGTAATATTTCTTCTGCATTATCTTCCTGTATGGATTCGTAGAATAGATTCATATTCATAGTTGTTTTAAGATAAAGAAAGTGGGATATTCATGTTCAAAAATATCTTAAAGCACTTTTCAGTTATGTTTACTATGCCATTTTCAAAATTTCACATTTTAAAATTAGAAAATGTGTGAAAACAAATTCTAACAATGAAGGTAAAATTATTATCCTCAATTGGGTGATTCAAAATCAACTGAATATATTTCACCAAGCATACAAAAGATAATCTTTTCAACATTTTTTTAAACTGAGAGTTCCTTATTCAAGGAAATAAGCTGCCATACATTATACAACCACATGTTGTCTTAAATAGGTGAGTGACTTCAATATACTGAGTAAAAATAGTAAAGTGAAATGACAATTTCCAGTGAAAAGTCTTTCATTTAATCACTGTACATTTTTGTATTATATAGCGATACTAGTAAAAAGTTATACATGCTAGTAAAGGAATTCATGAACACATACTCATAGGACCTGTTTCTGAATCCCTTTTATCTTGCTATTATGAACTTTCTTATTTAGGTTTATAGTAATACCCATCATATTTTAGTCTTAAACCTTTACAATCATTCTTAGCAAAGTATTAGGCAAACGGCAGATACTTAATAAGTCTTGGCTTATTACATTCAAAGATTTTAAGTGAGAATTCCATTTTTGCCCCTGTTTGTTTTCATTGAAGGTCTCTCAGTGTGAAGTTTAGGAATGTGTGTAACAACATTGCACATTTTATTTTACAAGCTATATATTTGAGTTTTGTCTTTTTTTCTTTTCATTTTGGTAGTGTGGGTGTGTCTGTGAGAGGTGCCAAGAGGTGGTCTTCCAGACCCCAGTATAAGGACTATCAGAACTCTTATTCAAAGAGATTCTATCTGGACTCATATAAAATGAGTTTCTATTGTCCTCAACTTCTCTGGGCAGTGGTATGATCATTTGTGGATGGAGACAATGAAGCCATGTACTTTTATAGCATGTATAAACATATCTGTCCTCAAGTATGCCTGATAATATATCCACGGAATAAGTAAAAGAAGGAGTGACAGAAACCTTGAATTCATATGTATGTTATGAAGAAAAGTTTGGGCTATAGATATTCTCGTATGTTGAAATTAGTAGCCTGAAATACATATATTCATTTTTTTCTTTTTTAAACTGATGTCTTTCTTCTATTACTATACTTTCCACATGCTCACCAAACTCAGTCTACTAAAAGTCAGTGAAAGTTATAAATTCTGGAAAGAAGTGTCATTACTCACTCCTTAAGTCCAAGAAACATCTGAACCACAAATTATTTATAGACTATGATGATAACGAATGCTTTAGAATTTGACCCCTCACATGTTTTAAAACTTTAATCACACAATCTCCTTTAAGAAAACAAAATATATCTACATTAAACATCTTTATTTCATTAACAAATATTCAAGACAATTCGATCCTGTACTTGTTGGTCGCTGCATTATCAGATTATTGCTGATAGGTGCTGTCCAGATTATTTTTGACTCAGGGACTGCAGATTACAGCATAGAACTGCCTCTTGCAGTTCTATTAGCTGTGGCTTTCAGACAGCAGCTTTGTCAGGCCACGCCTCTGCTGGTCTACTGGGGTGGGGCTGGGGGATTCCAACCACCCATCTTGTAGTTAACTGCTGAGAACTTAACCACCTCAGGTT